CGAAAGGATCTAACGAGGGGTCGGCTTTTTGCGCATTAAAATATCGACTAATTGCCGCAGGATCCAGGCCGTCGTTTTTGCCAGCCGCGCCGGAGACGTGATATACCACTCGTACATTTCCGAAATCTCCGCTCGAGATTGCCGCGTCGTTTTTCCAGAAAAAAAAGTGATCGATCCTTCTCGTGGAAAGTGAGCGAAAGATTTTACGCCCGTCGAATAATATGACGGCAATATTGAAGGAAAAGAACTGAGTGCCGCAGATGAGATAGAAGCGCAATCTCCAAACCCGCCGAAATAAAAGTTCGATTACCTCGGGAATGTCTATTTATAACATACGCGTGGAACGTTAAAAAAAACACGGGCAGACAAATTGAAGTTCAATTTTTAATTCCGGAACGTAGTTAATTAGCTCTCGAGCGAAAAGCTGGAAGATTTGCAACCGTCGACGAAATATTACATTCTCGGCAATATGAATATTTATAAGCATATTAGTGTAGATCCATTAGATAAATATATTATACAAACACATTAAATCAGTATTTAGTGATAAATTATGCTTCAGCGAGTAAAATCGAAGACTGAAGACGACGTCGTTCGGCATAACTCGACTCCTTCTGCCGATCGGCGCCCGAGAGGAGTAGATTCTCTCTCTCTCTCTCTCCATCTCCCTTCATCTATATTCATAGGGAACGAGTCCCGTTCGACAATTAATAGTAGCAGCATTCTCGATGGCGAGGTGGAGACGAGTCGCCTGGAAATAATTACGGTCTTTTCGTTTTTCATCGCGCCTGCGCGATCTGCGCCGGGGCAATCGGCGCGGCGTCTTCTCCGGCGAAATTGGTGGGGGGGAGAGGGGGAGAGAGAAAAAAACGGGCGTTTATGCCGACAATTCATAAAGCGGTGTCATTTCGTCGTATTTACAAACCGGTCGCGCCGCCGGCCGTCGAGGTAGAAAGATATTAAAGTGATTTCCGCCCGTCCGCGCCCGCGCCTCGCGTCGCCGCGCTAATTGCCCCAGGAATACCGGGAGCCGGTGAAACACCTACTTAAACTAGCATGCCGCCCCGACAATCGCCTCGCGTGTAAAACACCTCGCGGGCTTTCGCGCGCCGGAAAAGTGCCCGGTAAATAACGCGGTTATTGTGCCCGCTTATCGCGCGACGCCAGCTCGGATCCCCCGATCCCCAGCGATAAAATTGCTAATGACAGACGTAAAGATCTATAAATTTGCGAGTTAGATGACACGAACATTATTATAAAATTATCGTTAAGTATTGTATATTATATTCGTGTACTCCCTTAATCCGATTATTTTACATCGATTCTCTTCGATATCGGATCGTTCATTAGAGAGTTCTCTATACTTATTTGCAGTTAAAATTTTCGGAAAACGGTTACAGTTGACATTTGCAGCTAAATGCGGGGATAATTTCACGAACAAGTTATTTTCGTTGCAATAAAAATTTCCGGGACGGAACGTTAGCTCAGACGCGACGGGGCGAGCGAAATGGCTTATGAATTTTACCCGCTTTCGCGCTCGCTCTATCGCTTAATACGTGTAAGAACGGCCATCAAGTCTTGTTCCTAATTAGGAGCTCGGTTCCTCCGGTACTTTTGAAGAGTTCGCCGTGAGTCGCGTTTGCATCAGCCGCGACTTTCTTGCGGCCGTGGCGGATAACTTTCTCGCCGTAAACGCTTCGATGCCGCCTCGAGCAGCTTCGTAAATTTCCTACGAAGTCGGAAACGGGATTTTGTCTCGATTCATCTCGCCGGCAATTACCGGCAACGGCACTTGATCCGCGTTCTCGCTCGCTGATGCGCCCGATTCATAGTGTTTCGAGTGACGACGCGATTATTCCGCGATTGTATCGGGACACGTTTCCGAGGTTCAGTATCCTTAAAAGTACACTGGCGCACGTATTACCTCTCGGCGCGATACGAATCCAAGTAATCTCCGTGCAAAGTTGGCGCAGAAGCTTCAAGCTAGAAATTATATATGGATCTTCGTCCAATTGGAACTCTCGAAAGAGGAAAGCGGTACTAGAGAAAAGCAATGAAATTTGGACAATTACCGCGCGCGTCTATGTATTCGAGTTTCTTTTTCAATTTTAACATCCTGGAATCTGCAACCAAAAAAAATTACAACAAATACGTAATCATTAATTTTATTCCTTGAAGTAATTTCCGTTTCTGATTCGCCGCGATTCCCCTCGCAGGCAGAGGACGGGGATCTACGATCGAAATTGCGATAGGGATTATTTACTTTATTCCTCGGAATAATTCCCGTTTCTGATTCCCCGTAATCCTCGGCGGAAGACACGAATTCGAGCACCGGTACACCCGGTTGAAACAGTGGCAGGCTTCCAATTAGGACGGGGCTCCTTCGCTTGAATAATGCCACCGAGGTCTTCTCTTTCGGCCGCGCGATTGACTTTCCGTGGTGTCTTCGTCTTACCCTTGTATAAATTAGTCCCAGCCGCCGCATAATGGCGTGTCGATGCGCTACTGTCCCTCGGACGGTTCCCCCTTTCTAGTTCACTCCTTTGGCTTTTTAATCTTTCGTTCATCTTATTTCTCTCTCTCTCTCTCTCTCTCTCTCTCTCTCTCATTTTTCAGGGACTATTCGCAACCTTCTTCGTTCTTTTTTTCATTTCTCTCTCTGCGCTAGGCGAGTATTCAGACGTTCCTCTCGGAACTTTAGTCAGTATCCGTCCCGTTTTCTTCATCGCGATCACTCGCCCACTCGTCAGACCGGGCCGCTTAATTTACGGCCAATTAATTTGGATAAACTTAATGAATGGAGACTTGCTTTCGATGCACGCGCTAACTGGTGACTATCTCTCCCCACCGCTCCAGTCCCTTTCGACCTGTCTTATTCGACACGTACGTTCTTGTTTTGTCTCTTAAATTTTTCCGACGGGAATTATCGTTATTTCTCATGCAGCAAAAACAAACTTAACAATAAAACGCGGTATAGGTTAGGCCGTTCTTTATCTTTTTCTAATAAGAAAATAAAAAGTCGAGTGTCGCGAAAACTGTGGAGATTCAATTCACACACTGCACGCCTTCTTCGGCTCGATGTTCCGCGATGAAGAAAAGGGAGAGGAGAAGAAATCTGTTGTTCCGCGCAATGAAGACGCAGACGTTATTCCTCCCTTGCGCGACTTACGTTTTATGAATCACATTGTTAGCGGCGCGGCCGTTCGCGGCGACGGGCCTTGCGAGCGAGCTGCACGGCGTCCGGTGTCGTCGACGGAACCTACTTGGTATTCCGCTCCGGTCCGAGAGCATAATTGGACGCCAACTGGCGACGCTCCTCCGCGTATCGCGAAGACAAGAAATTATTCTTTAATTAATTGTCAGCGCTCAATGTGGCCGTATGCGTAGAATCGGCCGGGGCTCGGTACATAAATTTTATCTATATGGGAGCGCCGACTGAGGCCGCGCCGAGAAGCGGAGGCGGCTGGCCGGGGGCTTTGGAGTACGTAAGCGAGGGAGAAGGAGAGAACGGAGGGATCTCCGAACGGCTTCCGATCTACACGGGTGGCGAATATCTGGCGCCTGTTTGTAAAGCCTTTAACGGCGAGTCGTCGCTCTTAAAAGATCTCTTTGCGCTTCGCCACCTGTCCCAAGACGATTGGTACCCCGAGGCGCGCTCTCGTTGCTCGAGCCCCGATTTCACGGGAGAATTCCATCGTTCTTGGTTAATTGATAATTTTATGTACAATTCCAACATTTACAGATCACGGGAATGCTGGAGTGATTACGCACTTTTTGCAACCTTCCGCCCCTAGAACTGTCAATTCATGGCATTTGTGTGTCGCGCTGATTACGTGGCTCTTGTGTACGGACCGACAGTGTTCCGCTAATCGGAGAGCAGCGTGGTATCGTTGAAATTAAGTTTAGCAGCCTGACGAAAAATCTATTCACTCGAATAAGTTATAGGCTACCCAACTAGACGCAAAACGTGCAAAAGATGCAGAATTACTCCAGCATCCCTTTAAAAGATTTAAAAGCCGACAAATCTAAGCACTTGTTTTTTACTCTACTGGGCAAAATTCCTCTTTCTACCTGCGTTGTGTGTTAAGGTATTGCCGTCACTGTTATCCTTGCAGGCACTACCGCAATTATCCACTCGTGTCGTCGGTAAAACGCTCTCGTTTTTGATACCGTGCAACATTACCGGATAGTCTTCACAAACTGAACTTATATAAGGGGAAATCGAGTGTAAATCGATTATCCCAGAATATTGATAAATCTTACGAGCCATTGACGCCTCCGTACGTCGCGCGATTGCATAAAATACGGAGATGACGTGGCAATTATCCGGGGACGGTACAGCTTCTCTCTTGGAAAGTTGCGCCTCGCCGAAAAAAAAAAGAAACGACAACGCCGGGCCACTGCAGGCGCCTATGGCCACACACCGTAAAGCGAGACAGGTGCACACGGCGAAGACGCAACACACAAATATGATAACGGCAAACGAGCTGCCCCGTCGCGGGTACGTGTGTTGGTGCCGTGTCGTCTATATATATTTTATAATTAGCCGCCGGCCCTCTCCCCGATAAATCAGCGCGCCGCCCAGGCTTAAGACTTAATTAAAAATTTAGTCAAAAACCAATTAGCAGCCACGGCGGATTAACATATTTCTAATTATCTGGCGGACACTTTCGGCCTCCTTATCGAACTGCTTGCCATATATGAAGCCGGCCTGTCGATGACTGTGCGATACATGCGATCGCGCCCGGGCAAATCCCCCGCGCGCCTTTTTTTAAATCCTTTTTCCGCCTCGCCTCAATATGATGCCTTATTTGAGAAGTTACGCTCGATCAATTGCGTCATTGTGTTATTTGCAAATTAGTTAGTCGCGAGAAAGCTGCTTGGATCGGTGACGTCGATTCTCTTATCGATCCTTTCGACTATCCAGGGATACGTTTCTTTTTATGCATTTTTTTGTTAATTAAATAAAATGTTGCAAATAAAGCAAATTGTTATTTTACAGCTTCGTTACGTGTTTCACCGAGGATTGAAAGATCGACGGGAAAAACATAAATACTGAAATCTTTTATTTTGCTATAATATACTTCCATGGATAAATTATCATCTTACATTTATACAAGGCGCATAGGTACGTCTAGAACCACGCCGCATTCGTAACGTTAGCTTTTACTGTCTATGAGCGACTCCGTCCCCCTCGATTCACAATCAACACAAGCTGATACGTAATTTACACGCACTTGCCGCGTTTTCTTGAGTAGAAAAGAAAATATTCAACAAGTCTGAAAGACACCGAGATTAGGTGAGCTACGAGCTGTGTATTTGCCGATGGAGAATTCGCCCTTTACTTGTGTCACCGACTATTTCTGATGCAGCTTTCGAAAATGTGGGTAAAATTTCGCGACTGGATCTCTTTTGAAAATGAACGTCCGATATAAACGAATAAAGTCAGTACGAGGAATTGATAATACGCTCAGGGAAACGACTGTTGCATTTGGCGACGTCAACACTTTCTCTCGCGATGCTCTCAGACTCGGAATTGTTTAAACGTACCTCGCACATTCACGTCGCTGCACTCTCCCGATCCACTCACCGGTCCATGTTAAAAACACACCCGCGGACGAACGTTTGCTAGGTCCAGCGCGGTCCAAATCGCTAAACGAACTTTTGAACGCTCGTCCCTCGCGATGCCTCCTCTTGAGGGTGTAACCGAAGCGTCCTGTACACGTGTGTATATACATACGTACACCCATAGTTACCGTACGAACGCGTATCTATTTACACTATGTACACTCGTGCTTTTTCTTGAGATCAAAGTTTCGCGCGCCCCGAGAGGCGCCGATGTATACGTGTATTCCGTCGTCCCCGAGAAAATTGCGCGACGATGTTTCTTCGAGTTACGGGTCTCCCGAACGATAGCTTCGGACCTCACGTAGTGAAATCCATGATTATCCGTACCCCTCTGGAGATAAGCTGTCCGGATTAACGCGTGAGTATCGCCGCTGCACGGCCGCCGCACTCCTAACCCATTTCGACTTCCAATGTTAAGCGGTGGATCCCAATAGCCACGGTATCGATAGGAGATTGGATAATTAAAGTCGGGCGGGACTGATAAATAAGAGCGGCCGCAGAACTTCCAGGCAGTTTTTCTTCCCCGCGTGAAGGAGGGATCGCGTAAATCCATTTTGCGGATCCATCACTGATTACAAACTACTTTTGGTCTTCCGATTTCGCTCGAGTTCTCGGAATCTTCAACTCTCAAATTGTTTACCCTTTGCTCTCTTGAATCTTTAATTTGTGAATTTCCGATCCCTTTACATTTCCGAGTTCTTAGATTTTTTCGACTGGCCAATCCCCTGCTTTCTCCAGTTCGTAATTCTCAGATGGTTCTCCAGATTGTTAAACTCCCGGAGTTTGCATTCTCCCTCGGGGGTTCTTGAATAAACACGTGCAGGCTTATGTTTCTACGAAAGATCCCTGGCAACTCATGGGACTCTGACACTCCGCATTCGTCGGATCCCCAATTTGTGCGAGCAGGTTGGGTTCTTCGGACATCAAAAATGACTTCGAATTACACGCGTATTATATCTTGGCATATCATTATTAAGGTCGGTGCCCAGGCGGCCCCATGAACATGGCCGCTGCTGCCGCGGCATGGGTGTGCCTAGCCATAGCAGCTGCAATGAAGGGAGGTACTCCTGGGGCACCAGGCGGGCCCACCCCGGAGAACATTAGCCCCGATCCGAAGCTGGGGTGCAGCAAGGGCCTCGCGGATAGTCTTAACTTCTCTATTTCCGCCTCCTGGAGCCGCTTCGCCTTGGCTCTTCGGTTTTGAAACCAGATCTTCACCTGGAACATTATAGTGTTCTCGATTTAATTAGAGCGACAGCGAGAGCTGACTCTCTATACAAAACTTGTCTGCCTATTGCTTCTTCATTAATTCCTCAAGTATTTTTCAGGTGATTGGACATAATAAGATGTAACGATACACCTTTTAAACTTTTTATAGCATTAGCGGTAAAATAACGAAGTCACCCCGGAATCGATATTTTCAAGTAAAATACGAGTGAAATCGAACAACTTAAACTTTTTGTTGCGATAATTATTGAACCTTTGCCGTAATAAAAGCTGACGCTAGATCCCAGAACGGCCACGTAAAAATTTGTCAGCAAGATCGAATCTCTTCTTCACGTTCGAGTCGTTAAAAATACTGGCTCGTAAGGCACGGAATAACGTGAGAAATCATAGAACTCTACCGTCGTGTCGCATTACCACGCGACACGCCCGCAAACATTACATAAGTGCTATTATTGGTCGACGTCGCGCTTAACACCAGCGGTTAAAGATTTATAATCAGCAAATAGCATATTCAAACTGTGCGAGCTACTGTAAGCGCCGGAAAATCTGCGATCAATTACTCAATAATTTATTAATCAATGCACCAGCGGGCAAGAACGTAGTCGGGGAATAAAGACTTTTACCGCGTAAAACGCGCGCGAATCGTTTAGCGCGTCGTTAGACAAAACAGCCGATGAAACATCATGCTTCCAGCAGAAAATTATCGACATATCGAGAAGTCCTCGACGTCATAAGACAGCGACACGCCTAACGCTCGAGTTTACCGCACAGATGTGCCGGGTCAACACTAAATTTAATTGTTATTTGCACAGTCGTTTGCGAATCGCGTCGTTTGCGCAGCTGTCGCTTTGAATCGACGGCTAATTTGCGGCATTTTTGGCATGAGGACGAGAATATAAGGACTCCGAAATTGTTCTGCATCGCTGAAGCTTTTAACACTTATTTTCAGCAATATGCGTGAATAGGATAATCACGGTGCACTCAGACATTATGTAGGAGACGTAAGAATTAGTATTTAAGACTATAAAATGTTTTAGAAAATATTCCGGTTTTAACAGATGCTTTCGAATTACTTGCGACAACTCACGTGCCCAACTAAACTAACTTTACGTAACCAAAAGCTTCGCAATAAATTCTATATAAATCGTCAAAAAACTAAATACTTTAGGCAAAATTAAGCACAAGAAAACGGAACGTCAAATTACAATTGTTAATACATTCGTAATGTACGAATTAACCCTCCGTGAGCCGTTTTATTTTTCACTTAGGAATGGTCACAGTAAATTTCACAGATATATTGATTCTCTTGTTGCCTCTGCTTCTCGAAACCATTTTTCTTTCATTAACACTCGACTAATATACTAAATTACATAAATAACATAGAAAGCAAATTGTGAGCCCAGTACAATCTTGTTGATCCAGGACTATTGAAAATTAAGTTGTGCCGGATTAATGGATTTGTCAAACTACTGAAATGTAAGGAATATAGGCGGTAAATAATAAGTGAAATTATCACATATTTAAACTTATTATATCAATAAAAAATACACATTATGTGTCGCATACTGCTATTTCATAGAAAACCTTATCCTTTAGGAAAATAATTTTTAATAGACATTTGCCTCCTTGTAATTTATTTTTGCCTTAAACGAGGCAAAGGCGAATGGCGAATTATCGAAGTACCGAATTAACGAGATTGCATTAGACTGGATAAAAAAAAACCTTGAAGAACTAAAGTATTAGTAACAATGTAGTCCGAACGTGTGTCTGTTGAATATTGGTAACTAACGGAGGGTTGAAATTGATTCCAGGGGTGCGTTCGACAAATGCAAAAGGAGCAGCAGCCAGTCTACGCCTTCCTTTCGCCTTCATAAAAGACTCGGGTGATAAGTTACTTCGTGCGATCACAGGGATGGATATCGCCGCGGCGCGAGTGTCACGATTTGAATTGGCATACCTCTTTGTCCAAGGTGAATAATGAGCGAGAAGAGAGCGCGATCGAAGGAACGGCTTGGCGACTTAAAGGACACGAGAAGATGGCAGGGTAATCGTGGCTTATCTAAGCAAATGCATGCGACGTAGCTTCATTTCGACTGATTCATTGTAACGAATGCGCAAAGTGTATCTTAGCACGCTAACCGGCGCGATAATAGCCCACTCTGTTACGCGGCAAAGAATCATGATAGTCCAGATGGAGAAGAGCGGACCATATTGACGATACAGTAACAATATTTGTGAAAGATAATTCTGCAATTAACCGTTATCTCGAGCGTGAAGATGTACAAATAATAATTTGCGGCACAAAAGTAGTACCTTTCCATTTTGAAAGTTCGCCAACGCCGTTGGTTCGTCATCCTTCAATAAAATGAACATAAACAGACGATTCTAACAATTTTCGTCAGCTTGCTCGTTAATCGAAGAACGCCCTACATTTAATTCAACATCTGCCAATGTGTATATTTCTACTTTTTACTCCATTTATGATACACTTAACGGGTGACGAGTAGAAAACACATTTTTCCCCATATATTTCACATTACATGCGACTGATCTACTCCAATTTGCTATGCAGCGCTCTCCAAAGTAGCCTTGAGTAAAATTCATGATTATCAATTTACCTCTCGGCGTACATTCCGAACACGTGTCACTGGGGATCATTACGTTAAACTGAGAGACTTTTTCAATTTTAAGAGAGCTAATTACTCAACCGTCGAGCGCCTCACCTGCGTTTCCGTGAGGTGCAGAGACGACGAGAACTCTGCTCTCTCGGCTATCGTTAGGTACTGCTTCTCGCGGAACTTTTTCTCGAGCGACAACAGCTGCTGCGTCGTGAACGGTGTTCTCGGCTTCCGGTTCGGTTTGTGCTTTCTGAGGGTGCATCTGACCGGGCCTGGTCCGGGCCCCGGCAGTCTCAAGTCCCCTGAAACCAGAAAGAAGCCGCGCGTTCTGATCAGACCTCCTGTCCCTTCCCTAATTTTGTAATAATCCAAATCGCAGTGACGGCTCTCAATGAAACAAATAGTAAGGTAGGGAGAACGGGCCAGTCGACCAAAAATAATTTTATAACATAAAGAAATTGGTGTGTCGAGCGAGCTCTCCGATTTACCTCAGGTAAATGCAACATTAAAAAAATGGACCTTGCTAAAACAAAATATTCAGAGTCGATTTTCACGGAAAACTTAAGATTTCTATTGGAAAGGCACCATCGTGGTTTCATCTCGCCCGCTCTCGCTTCAAATTGGTCCGCCGTTCCTCTTTTAAAAAGCGAAGAGACGGGGATTAAAATAGCATTACTCCGCCGCGCAACGCTCCGCTATATCAGGCATCATTAGAGAGAGAGATACGTTAATAATGATACTCGCGGACATTTGTATCTGCGCTATTAAAACTCCTGTCCGCCATCTCCGTGCACTCATCGAATGATAATTAACCTCGGATGCGCAACGTTAGTCGTTAATTTACGAGCGCACGGCGACGTCGCGGCAAGACGCGTTTTCATATAGGTTTCGCATGATGAAGCGATTACGGTCTCGCAGTGCCGGGAGAGGGAGTAGGGGGGGGGAGGGGAGGGAGGGGCGCAAATTAAATCATAAAAAATAAATCGCGCTCGAATGCTCGGCAAACGGCGCATAATTATCGACCCATCATCCCGGTCGCGCGCATCCGGCGCGCATGATTATCATCGACCGTCGTTGTTTACGATCGGCTCATGTGCACGCAATTAGTTGGTACTGCGTAAAGTTTCGCCACCTCTCCACGGTAGCGCGATTATATATCGACGGCGCATTCGCGCGCCTTGTCACTCGTCCGTAAATCCATTTTAAGCTGACCACTTCGTTAAAATTCGCATAAAAGTAAAGGACGAAAAAACAACATATCCCGAACGAAGTAAAAACGTACGTGCAGCGAGAGCTCGCGATAACGTGTGCTTGCGGGTACCTTCCGTTTTTTTTCCCTCCCTCTCCTTTCACGTTAGACTGCGATAATTAATATCCGACGCGCGAGGGACGCGTATTTGAAAAGCGACGCACAAGGGACCAAATGAAGTATTGACACCTCGTAAAAAAATCGCAGCGGGCTTGCCGATAACTCTTCTCGGCGCCCGCGCGCATTCTACAATTAGACATATTATTTCCCTATAACACACGCCACACTATCTCGCGCCGCATTCAAAATAAGCGACTCGCGCGAGAGGAAGAGTAATTGATATCTCCGTGGAAGCGGCCCTTACGTCGGCCAGATGCGAAGTTACATCGATCGCGACTCCGGAGCCCAGCACCGCGCTTGGGCACCGTTGAAAAAGTGCCCCCGACATCCAGCACGACGGATGCGATGACGATTTCGCGTACGCGGCGAGGAGAGCGCGCGCGGATTCCGAGCGCTAATTAACGTTCGACCGGGTACAAAAAAGGCACGGGCCGCCGGCATTGTCGACCGGATCAGCCGAGACACACCGGTATCGCGTCTTCCATTCTCGTTGCGCCGTCAGTTCCCCGTTTCGCGTGTCGCCTGGGGAAGCCGGGGCGGGTTCGCGCACGTAACCGATCAATACGTTCTCCCGGGAGGCTAATTAATTTCTGCTAATTATAAATACCTATCCGGGCGAATCCAAAGTCGCGGATCTACCCGCCGCGCCGCCACTTTCCTCGGCGTTTAAGGACATCCGTAAGTGGGCCGTGACCGACGCACAGCCTGCGATCCTTTACCAAACGCTCCGCTAATTAAACGCCATTGCCGTTCGGCGACACTTTATTTTCGTATTAACATAACGGCGCTGGAAATTTGCCGCCTTGCATCGCCGAGCTAATGGATTATTAATGCGGTTAACACTCGACGTTATTACAACGTTATTTGCACGCCTCGGAGGGGTGGGGAGGGGGGGGGGGTGACGGTTCTAGGGTGTCCTACGGTAAGCAGAGTGACCGCGGTATCGCGCGTCGCCGAGGTTGCAAAGGGAAACGCGCAAGAAAGACGCCGCGGATCCGCGCGCGGCCAGACAATCTGTCATTACGTGTCGACGTCGCATCCATTCACGCGGTAATATAGCGATTTCATGTCGCCCGTCCAAGTTAGCCATGCCGCGCACGTAACCGATCAATATGTTCTTCTTGACTGCTAATTAATTTCTGTTAATTACCCGATCGCTGAAACACGCACGCGAACGGCGACGTCGCCGTAACGGCCGCTGTCGGCCCTGATAGGGACACAATCCGTTCGCTCTCCGGGCTGGAAATTTTTCGGATAACCAAAGTACGCGACGATAAAAGATCGATCCGGATCGCCGCCGAATACGCCGCCGTTAATTCAGGCTAATTAAAGACAGAGAAGCCTCGTGTGCGGCTGAGCCGCAAATTGCCGCGTTAAAATCACGAGTTTCAAATCGGAATATTCATATTTTATTGTGTCGCGTCAGATTGTAAAGTGAAATTTATTCTCAGCTCAGTATAACAAAATCAGATATTTTTTTCCAGAAATTCCTCACGGTCGCTAAAAACGGATGCTAATTTGTATCGAAAAGAATTTGTTCAATCTGATTGTTGATGTTAATATGTGGGTTTATTGTTCCAGCTGCGTTTCAAGATCGACGCGCGGTTTGCCAGAAACTGTACAAGTTTCGCACAAAAATATTATTATTGGTCGAAGATGACATCTTCTCTATTTAATCGTTAGATCTTTACACGCGCGGATGTACGCAATTCGACACCTTTGCGAAGCGCAAAATCTTGCGGGGCGATTGTGCGATTATTACGCGACGGCCACTGCTCCTCGTCGGCGGACACGTGAATTTTCGGGGATGCCGAGGAGGAGGAAATTTATTCTCAGCTCAGTATAACAAAATCAGATATTTTTTCCAGAAATTCCTCACGGTCGCTAAAAACGGATGCTAATTTGTATCGAAAAGAATTTGTTCAATCTGATTGTTGATGTTAATATGTGAGTTTATTGTTCCAGCTGCGTTTCAAGATCGACGCGCGGTTTGCCAGAAACTGTACAAGCTTCGCACAAAAATATTATTATTGGTCGAAGATGACATCTTCTCTATTTAATCGTTAGATCTTTACACGCGCGGGTGTACGCAATTCGACACCTTTGCGAAGCGCAAAATCTTGGGGAGCGATTGTGCGATTATTACGCGACGGCCACTGCTCCACGTCGGCGGACACGTGAATTTTCGGGGATGCCGAGGAGAGAGACGCGTTAGCCGGGCAGACGGGCGTCGCGTCGGGACCGCTGGAACGGCCGAGGCGGGTAATTACGTCCATGGAATGATGAATCGCCCGAAATATTTTGTAGAACATCATTGGACGCGGGGCGGGCGTCGTTAATTCATTCCTGCGCGCGCAATCCAGATAAATGCGTGCGGGCAGCGGCGCTCGAGCGTTATAAATGACGTCCGTATTCATAATTTTCGTAAGCCGCCGCCCAGCGACGGGGCCCCGGGATTATCGGCCCGTATACGAGCCCTGTATCGCACCCCCGCCCCCGCCCCCCTCGCCCCTGAAATACCTGTCAGTGGCGAACGGTTAATGAAAATGGGCTAATAAGCTTTCCACTGTCCAATTTTTCAGAAACGATCTTTGTGCGGAAGATGCGATATTTGGTGGAAGATATTCCGCTCGGAAAGCGACGTGTCTACTTTGTTGCGGGGATCATTAGGGAATGTCCCGTGTGGAGCTCGTTTGTTCGACCCTACGCGTTATTTAAAACTTTATTTAAAGGGCTTTTAAGTGCACCCAGGAAAAAGTTTGTTTAAAATCGAACAAATTTGTCTGTAAATTTTGACCTTGCTAGATAGCAGACTTTAATTTCGAAGAAATGATTTCTTTATCTTAATAAAAAAAAATAAGAGAATTCATATCCATTTCTTCAAATCTATCGAAAGTTTCAGTAGAAGTAAATAAAAATTTAGTAGATTCAAAGAAACACGATTTCAACGTACATATCTCATTTGCTTAACATAACTAAGGCTCGGTTTCACCAAATGTCGTTTAACTTTAATCTTAGTTCAATTCACGCTTGTCTCTATTTAAAATAACACAAAAAGACAAAGAGTGAATTAAGCTAAACAGAAGGTTAAGCGACGTTGATGAAACCAGGCCTACATTTTTTTTCTGAATGTGGGATACAAATCGCCACGTTTAACTTAATTCAGAGATACCATATTTTCCAAATTTATCCTACTTTTTCCAAGATATCGCTTTTGTGATACGTGAAAGTGCTCTGTCGCCCTGCGGCGAAAATTACAGCTTAAAACTTCTCTGTGAAATAAACACAACGCGATTGATTGTACGAGTGATTCGCGTCGTGCGGGGCTTCTTATCGAAAGTACCGAGAACTAACAAAAGGCGCGTAATTAACCGAGTTCCCTGTAAGTGAACAATCATCCCGGGGCAAAAGCGACAATGTCGCGACTGCGATAATGCGCGATCGCAATAACGGCGCATACCCGAGCTGCTCCGGCTCCTCGTTCCAAGTGCTGGTATAATTGGTGTCGCGCACCAATAGCGGGAAGAAAACGAGGAAGACAAATCGCGAGAGGGACGCTGGGCGCGGGGTGGGATGGGAGGGGAGCGAGGGGGCGAATGGTTTGTCGTTATCGTTCGCAAAAAGTTTCGCCGAGCGACGTCGCGCAGGAAGTAGAAATGCGCTGCACCAAACTTAACAGGCCACTTTAACGAGAGCAGTTTTTACCGGGCGCCTCTTGAATGCATTATGGATGTCGTGAGTTATATATGACTCTATCATGTCGAACCCGCTCGCGATTCGCCCCCGGTTGGCGCGATCGTCCCCTCCCCGCTTTTCGTCTTCCGCGGGCAGCGCGAACAATGTGAAAAACCAAGATATGGAAAATAAGCGCGTGGTCGCTCTTACGCGTCCTCATCAATTTCGCTATTGTATCTTCCTGTTTTATCCCCCCCCCCCCTCCCCGCCTCGATTCGCTGTCAATACCGCTTTACATCGGGCGTTACATTTTGAGCCGGATTTTATTACGATCGACGCAAATGACGTAAATGCGTTTCGTTCAATTATGCCACTTTGAGAGATACAGGGGTCCGTGCAGTCGGCGTTTTATGTGCGTTCCCATTAGTTGCGGGATCGCGTGTCTTTCCAATATTCTCTCGCTCTCCGGTTACCATTCACGCTGCTTTATATCGAGCGTTATAAGTGTTACTTTCAATTATGTTACTTTAAAAGATAAGGTAATGCACACAACTGGCTCCTGCACATACGTCCACATCAGTTTTACGCTGGCGCGCGTCCTCCTAATATACACTCTCCCTTTTCCGATTTCGCTACGTACGTCCATCGCGTTAATTGTTCAATTACGTTCGCTCGTCCAATTGTGTATTTAGAGAAGAAGAAACATCGTTGCGCAAACTTCTCCGAGGCTCTTTAATAATTTTCTTTCGTCACGTCACCATAAGATCTGTTTCATTGGTCCCGCAATTATTACGGGCATTATCCGCGATATGTACCGCAGAAAAAACTGCGTCGCAATTGAGCATTTTTCAAAGATGATAAAGTAATGAGGAAGCTCGTTCCTCGAAGCCGTCCCCTTGGCCGTTCGTGAAATGTTCTGGCAGTAAATAGCGTCGCGAATTTCGAAGGTTCCTACGAGCTCTTTCGTCACTTCACCATAAGATCGGTTTCATTGTTCGCGCAATTATTACGGGCATTATCCACGATTGTACCGCAGAAGAAACTGCGTGGCAATAGAGCATTTTTCAAAGATGATAAAGTGACGAGGAAGCTCGTTCCTCGAAGCCGTCCCCTTGGCCGTTCTCGTGAAATGCCCTGGCGGTAAGTAGCGTCGCGGATTTCGAAGTTCCTACGAGCGAAATTATATCCGCGCGTAAACGAGGAACTCGCGCCGTTTCCGAGAAAGAAATCTCTAAAACCATTACGGGATTCCCGGCGAGCATAAAAGTTGACGCGCGAACAGCAAGGCCAGGGTACGAGGAGCACTCTCGTCCTTTGCAGCCTCGCGAGTACTCGAGCACTCGAGTACCCCGTGAAGAGAGCCACGATGTACGATTAGCCCATTGCGCGAGAGGTGTCGGTTACACCTTAATGAGGTATTACTTTAATTGTCCATTAGGAATGGACTCAATGTAGTAATGTTCGCCAAGTTCTTTACTCATGCGGCAACACGAGTCTTTGCACTTCAACGTCTTTCTCCATTAGAGGGATCCTCCACTCGCTTAAACGTGCAGTAATGACTGCGATTGTGAAAGAATTAATAATGAACCAACGCGCATTGGCCATCGATATCGCATTTCGGTCGCGAAAGCACCCGATACATTCCGGACTGACTCGGGCATCGCGTCGTGTTTCGCGGCAAATAAATATAACTCATCCTGGAACAAAGTGTAGACATCTCTTCAATTCGTATCATGTTTACAGCAATCGAATTTTCTTCGGGCGGCCGCTAATCGCGCGAGATAAGTGAGAGAGAGCGAGCGGGCTCCCGCTCGGTAATTAATAAATCGCAACTAATTCTCTCGTTTAAGTCGTCGTAAATTATTTATCAGCCAAGTGTTCCCAAGCAGCAGCGACGTCTAATTATCGCGACTCGGAGCCGCGGCTTTCCTTCTCGATTTATTAGCCAATTACAATCCATATATCCGCCACCGGTCATGAAACAAGATCTGTATCTCTGTACGGCCGATCACTTTTGTACCTGTCCCGAGAATCGCGGTTTCTCCTTCCTCATTAGGCAATTACGTCGAGTTTTATCTCGTCGAGCCCGATTTTTCGCTCGCGTCACTCCGTGGTCACTTCTGCTTCCATCACACCAGAGGCGATGGAAAACATTTCCCGTCGTCGCTTTGTAAGCGCCGATCGTGCGTCCTAATGGCCTAGATATACGACGATCGTGCCCGACGCGCCGATCGTGCATCGTTTCAGGGAGCCGATCGCAAGCCGTAACACGGACTCGAGTTCCGCGTTGACGTTTGTGGAATAGACTCGGGAAAGATCTGCAAAACGGTCGAGCTGCAACCCTGTCCGGAAGTCGGCATCGACGAGTAGAAGGAAAATCGCGGCTCTACCTGGTTGCGCGCGTAAGTAAAGTACACTCGATAGGTGAACGATGCTAACTCTTACAGTTCTTGGAACTAACGGCTAATGTACGCCCGTAATAATTCTATGTCCACAGATTTCTCAACGGTACGAAAAAGAATTCGACAATGTCGCTGTGCGACAAAAGTAACGATACGAGCGCAAGACGAAGCGAATTTCGTACAGCAAAAAGCAGAGTAACGCAAGAATTTCTTAACTGATTAATTAATAGCCACGAAAGCGTTGTAACAATTGCAAAAGCTGTCAATTCATTTGATGTAAGAATAATTAATTTGCACTTCCGATTGATTTCCGTTGGAAAAAAAATGTGTTCTATTATTTGCTGGTCTGCGAGATAATTTTGGAGCTATAGAAATCATGAATTTGACCAGTTAAATTAATAGCACGGCATTCGTATACGTCCCATCCTAAAGTCATACGATTACGAGAGAATCAGAGATTATAGAATATAAAATTTATATACTGAAGAATGCAATGAATCATTTTAATCAACGATTAAATCAAACTGCGGACTGAATTGATATTGGCACGAATATCCGTGTCTTTGGTTAATGGCCGCGATAAATTTAAACGTAATATGTGTTGGTTGAAATATAAATATTTATCTCTTGGATTTGCATCACATTTCAGGTATGTCATTAGTCCTGTTATGCCCGTTAAATCTTTCCGCTCGAGAAGAAATCGTCGGGGCAAAAGATATCGTGTCGATCGTGACGGTAGTTTTAAGGCCTCAGCTTTTAAGCTTCAATTGCGACGAAGGTGAACCGGGGTACGAGCGAATTCCTTGGCACGTAAGACCGATAATACCCACCTACTCGCGTGATCCACGGCACTAATGCAGAGCGTTATGAGTCTGCGTGTCGTGCATTAACGGTTGCATTAAGAGAGTTTGCGTTTTCCATCTGATTGCCGACATTGTATCCGGCAAGATCACAAGGTAAAAAGCAAACACGGCGAAACTACCCTCGTCTAGGCGTTCCTTTTGAGGTTTTCAGGTGCCACTTGGTTTCCGAGAATATTCTCCCATGGATAATTGTTATGATGTTATAATTACGACATTAAGTTGAAAAATGACAATGTAGACGCAACATATCGTTCACATCTTTTATGGGGGTTTCCTTTGACGCAGTCTTTACGAATCATAAAACATTGGGCGCGTCAACATAAAAATAGAAATTCCGTGTTTGTGTATTAATTTGTTACGTAGCGTGAAATTTGACCTACTCTAAAATACACTAATCGAGAGCAAGTCTTACCGTTCGGACTGGTCGGTCCACCGTGCGGCGTGTAAAGATGTCCATGAGGATTGTGCGGATGCGGGGGTGGGGGCAGCCACGCGAACCCCGCCAGAGAATGCGGAAATCCCGCGGGGTTCCAGCCGGGAGCGCCGGGTGCTCCGGCGAGATACGGTGGGCCCTGCGAGGGCCTTTGCACTCCGGGATGAATCGGCTGAGGCACTACCGGGCTGGACTTCTCCTCCTTCTCCTGGCTGGTCTCCAAGTCCCTCTCCAGCTCGCAGTCCGAGTCCATCACGTTTAGATCCTCGGACTGGCCGACGCTTCTTATCTCGTGGTCCTCGAGATCCAGATGATCCGTCGTACGGTCTCCTTCCAGCGAGCGATTCGCCTCGGAATCGCTACGATCGTCGAGGATCTCTCGTCTGCTCGCAGGCGACACGGATCTTGGATTGGTGATCCTGTCCATTCTCTCGTCCTCCTCCTGAATACGCTCCTGCTCTCGTTGGAGCATCGTCTCGCCGATGCCACTCGGCGAATTGGTCGTCAGTCGGTCTCTCGGGACCTCCTGGTCTATTCTGATAGGGGAGGACGACTTGTCGTGGCTCGTCCTGGAGAAATCCTTCACCGTGAGCATCTCCTGTCGGGCGGGCGGGTGATCCTGCTCGAGTCTGTTCGGGTGATGATGGTGGTGGTGATTTCCGAAGCTGGCGAGACCGTGAGGGCTCAACCTGGCGAGTAGCTCTCTGCTCTGGAGTCTCTGCTGCTCCATCAGTAGCTCCCGATACCTCACTTCCATTTCGATACTCTTTTCGGCGTCCATCCTGTCGTCGTTGTCCCGCCTGGCCGCGAAGGTGCCGCCGCCGATGACACTCTTCTTCGTGCCGCTCAGTAGGGCGTCGACGCTGAAGCTGATCTTGCCGCTCCGCGGCTTCAGATTCGAAGACGCCGAAGTCGGCGTAGCCATGTCGACGTCCTCGCACAGACGATCGTTGCCGGAACCCGGGCCTGTTACCACACCTTCGCCGTTGCTCATGCCGACTCCTAACGTGTCTCGGCTTCTCCAATTCTCGCGTCTCACAAGTCTCGAAACACAACCGGCGATTCTTATCAATTCTACCAAGTTACAGTCATCCGAAGACGCGAGTATAAAGATCGTTCGGTCGCTTCCTCAGTTCCATGTTGGACCGTGTGCCGAATGTCCGTTGCACCGCGATTCGTAACGAAATCCCGAATAAGTAGCGTCGCACCTTAAAGCGTCGGCTGACAGTCGTTGCATCGGCCTCTCGCAGACATCCGTTAAAGGACAATAGGCGCGATCGAGCCGCAGAGCACTTTCAGGTGACGATCAGTCACATCGTGATTCCTGGACGAAACCCGCTAACGTCCAAGAGACTGTCCAAGGCGCGAGCCGCCGCCTTAATAAGTTTTGCGCTCCGTTATTCTTGGAATCCGCCGCATCGCCGCGGAATGACCCAGCCGACACGAGCGGATTCCCCCATTAGAGTCAGAAGAGTGTTCTTAAGGTATCAACATGATGACCCAACTCTTCTCACCTCTCTTAGCTTTTTATACTCTTTGCATCCTTGCCGATTCCCAACCGATATTATCATGCGGCGATCTTCTTTTCGCGATACTTTACAGTCCTTTCTCTCAGACAGCGCTTGACGGATCCGTGTAAAAACATTTGAATGAAACGCGCGGAATTGAATCTACGCCGTGTAATACTCTCTTTGCGAGAGATGACGTGTCAGGGATGATGAATCTTACATCAACAGCTTCCGCTGTCATCGTACGTTTTGGATAATTGCGAATGATTGTTCTAATCCGTTGCGTGTCTCGCTATATATTTTAAAGGACTTTCCAGTATTGCGCTTCTCTCGTTCTAAATCCAAACTCTTCTTCGTGACACTTGACGTTTCGTTTGTTCCACTGTTAGATCGCAAATGTCGATGTTCGCGATGTAGCCCGGAGAGGTCAAGTGATTTTCAACGTCAACAAAACCCGTCACTGCCATCAACGCGTTCGTCCGCGCGGTCCAGGGGTATTGAGCGCGGTCGTCGATACGCGGAGATCTCCGCCAGATCTGCTCCTGAATTTCGACTGAGGCACTTGGTTCCTTTGTGCACCGTTGACGCGCCGCCTCTCGCGACCTAGACGATTTACCGAGACGGTCGAGCGCGTACTCCAGCTCGGGTCGCGCGACGATGAGGATACAAGAGGTGGGAGTGCAGCGGTCGCCCCAAGAAAAGAAACGACTGTCGGCGGCGGAGTACAAATGTAATCGGTTGTAATCTGTGTAATCTGCCGCGTGGTGACCGCCACTGCCGCGGAAACGGCACTGATTACCAGCTCGGCTACACTCGCGGCGGAGAGCCCTGCCGGGGGGCTCTCCATTCTCCCTCTTTCTCTTTCTCTCTCTGCGCCTCCTTCTCCTTCTCTCCGTCTCTCTTTTCTCGTTCTCGGCGTCGCGGTGCCACCGCCGGGTGCGCGCCGCCCCCGCGGCGCTAGCAAAACCGGTACCGTGGCCTGGGCTCGACCAATACGCGCGAGCCGACGTACATCTCGGGCGTTTCGAGAATGGGCGTTCTTCGTGGTCGGACGAGGACCAATAGCGGACAACGAGGTGGATCGAAACTCGTAGGGGAAACCCCCTTCTTCCGGTTCTCCGGGACCGCCAGATGGAGCTGGCTGCATCGCCCGATGCTAGAAAGTGCCTCAAGGTGGTGGAGAACGCGGATGGTCGATGGAACGTGGCCGGTGGCGGTGGCGGCAGTGGTGGTGGTGGTGGTGATAGGACGCGGCGGGACCGAGCGGAACGTGACGACTCCTAATTGTCTAATTCCCGGGCGCGCAATGCGCGAATTGATTGGCAATACGGATGCACGTGGCTGTGTGCACGGGCGCATGGCTGGGAGGGCAAGCATCCCTCTCGCCGTCCGCGAACCGCGCGGCACCTCGTTCTGCTCTCGTGAGAGCGAGCGATGGCTGATCTAGGATTTATACCGTCGGCGACGTAAACGCACAATTCCCGGCGTTGATCATATTTAATTATCAGCAGAATTGCGGCGTGCGTGCTGGAAAACGTGATCGGTTCCTTGGTCTGATCGGTTTTCGGCTGACCATTTGCGCACAAATTCATGCTTGTAAATAAAAAGAAGAGTCGATTCTGGAAATGTGCCATACTTGAACGAGACATTTTTCACGAAATTAAATATTTTTTATTTTATTTTCAGAGCGATGCAAATAAATTATGGAAATGTCGCTGATATAACTGTTTCGTCTTGACTGATATATTCCCTTCCCTAGATTACCTTACGAAATAAGCTGTTATTTTCTTTGTGCTGGGAAACTCATATAGATGTTAACTGTTGAAAATTTTAGCGTTAATATATGACGAGTATTCAGTATATAATGAGTATATTTAGTACAGAGAATATTTAGTATATAATGAGTATTCAGAAACAGCATGTAATGATGTTTCTTGATAATTTAATTTTCTTCAAAACAGTCAATTTTATTAATATAAAATAGTACTTTTTCCGAGTACGTTATCGCGAGGTACATATCGCTATAAGAATAATTGCATAAATAAAACGAACATATACAGATATTCGCGCTTTTTATGGAGAAATAACCGCAGGATGATGCAGTGATAGAAGGGGTGGATTGGAACCGGCATATTGAATCTCCGATCCAAAAGAAGGGAGTGCACCGATACAGCGAGGGTGGGGAAGCGTCTGCAGTAAGCCAAGCAAACACGCGCGCACTCTTCTCGCGAGGAAAGAGATATACCCGAAGGCGGGAGCGAGCAGAAAGAGAGAATTGAGCCGTCAAGCATGGGGTTTTTGTCGTTCGCCAGTCGCGAACAGGACTGGAGGAGGCCTTGAGCAACGTACGCACCGTTGTCTCCTATTTTGTGACTCCCGTTCGAGTCTATCGCGTTAGCGCGTTAAAAGCAAACATATTTTATTAACAACAAAGACAGCAAGGTATTAAGGCAGCGAGAGCCTTTGACTAACTCGACAAGAAATCGACTCAAAGGTTTTTACATATAGACATAATTAAAACCGTAATGACTTGAGACGGTTGAGGCTTATATAATCAGTTGATATCCAGTTAATCAAAAGCAACTTTTTTCTCCCACTTTTCTTCTATTCCTGGACTTCTTTTTCGATACATAATATATTTGGTTTACAGAAATTACTTTACGACTATAAAATCGTCTGCTAAAACAAAATGTAACAATGATATAACTAGAAGGATCATTTCATATAAAATTTAAAATAATGAAATTTTTTAAACCAGCAGATTTGCATAGAAATCTCTTCAAGTTGCCAGTAATAAGTAACACTAATCAAGCTTTTTAGTCGATATTAACCGACCAACGTTATAATACAAAAAATTTATTGCAAATGTTATTGTCCACCGACTGAATTGCTCCTTGTAAATATAATGCGCTTCTTTTATTAATAGAAATCTGTAAAACTATATACTTTAGTTGTATAGGGTAAATTATGGTAAGCCCTACATGTTTATCTAAACTCTAGCTATAGTATTCTTATTCAGTACGCACAATCGCAAGAAGGCCATTACACGACCAGCAATATTTTAGGATTAAGGGGGTGGACAAGCAAGATGGATACGTAAAGTTTGCTAAAAGAAAATAATATATAGTCAAAATGTATTATTCATTCATAACAAAATAACGAAGTTTAGACCTCCTTAGGTGTAATCAAGAAAGAGAAAATAAATAAAAATAATTATCTCTTACAATTTGTAAAATCGTTTTTAAAAAATGTGTATATCCTATCCGTCTTACTTGACCATAACGGACAAAACAAATTTCTTAGACAAACAGCAGTAATATTAATAAAAAAAATGACAAACTTGTAATCATCACAAAAGTATAAACCTTGACTCCCGTACAAAGAACATGCCTCGTAAGTCCATTCCTTGCATTGTATCTGAATTTCTAGTAATGGATATATAAGTATATATTTGCAAAATCATGATTTTCATTTTTTCAACGGTCTACTAATTCTTTGTATTAACTACTGGCGATTACCATATTTCCTTCTTCTAATTCTTTTTTCAAACTATAATTTTTTTCAAACGAGACATGATTGTTTCTGTATTTCAAGGTGTTTGCTTTGTCCGGCCACCCCCAAAAGAAAATATTATATTAATCCGGTTGGGACACTGCGACAAAGATGAGCTTAACTCGACTTTCTGACCACCCAGCATATCCCACGGGACGAACTGACTTAGGGCCAGTTTTACAAACGTCGGTTAACTGCTAACCAAAGGTTAACTGATCCTCTGTCTCTTCTTAGAGAACAAGATAGAAAAAGATAGGGCGTTGACTGAACTCTGGTTAACAGTTAACCAACGTTTGTGAAATTGGCCCTTAAAAAGAGAAGTGATTTCAGTCAAACCGATTAAGAAAAGTTTCGGTTGACAATTGGTTGGACGCGCTGGCAGGATGGTTTTTGCTAGCAGCGCTGATGCCTTCGTAATTCTCGGCGATTCTTCTCGCCCCGGGCGGATTATGTTACGCGCGTTACGCGCGAGAATGTTTAAACGCGATGTGAAATAGAATCGCGGAGCCAATTAAGACGCGCCGCGGTGCCGAACACCGTTGACGTTAATTAGACTACGGAGCGGCTGAGATCGTTTAACTGGCAAGTGATTCGGTTTAGCAAACCGGCACGAAACCGGCTGCGTCGAGTACACGACGTATGCATGTAAACAGAGTCGTATTATATTATTGTAATTATGAATTATTTATCAGTTGTGCGTATAATTAAGCTCAGATTGGTAAAAATTATCAGATTGTTAGTACATTATTATAATATTACTAGTGAGGCCTATTACACGAATAATAAAGTGTTTAAAATCTCAATGTTCTAATACGACGTATCAAAAATTCCATTATATACAGGGTGTTATGTAATACCCGCCTCACCTCTTATTTACAGATAGAGCGGACTAGACTGAGTAAAAAAGTCCTCCACTATTTTGCAAATTTCGCAATAGTTAACCAGTTATTAATTATTAAAAATCGCTGTCTTAGCCCGGCCTACCGGCCAACTCAAGCTCGCGGCGAGGAGTCGGCCGTCTCGCGATCCGCGATTTATTATACGTAGCCGTTGCCGTGTATCGCAAACAACTCTCCGCGCGCCTAGCAACGCCGATCGCGGGACGGCCGCATCTCGCAGCGAGCTTGAATTGGGCGGTAGACCGGGCTAAGACAGCGATTTGTAATAATTAATAACTCGTTAACCATTGCGAAAATTGCAAAATGGTACAGGACTTTTCGACTCACAAGGGAAAGATAGGTATAGTTCCGTAGGCTGGCATTTGGCTGAATTTTAAATATATTGTTCTACATCCTCCCCAATAATAAACGGTGCAGTAACTCTTGCCAATGGACATTAGTTTAGAAATTAAATTATTTTTAAATGAGCCACGTGTGTAATTTACCGAGTCGATAACACGTTTTTTAATTTAGACACGTGATCGGGCGACTAGAATGCTGGAGGTCTCGAGTTCGAGACCGGCTTTTTTCCATTTATTTTATGGTAATATATGTATATTTTGTATGTATAACAAATATATATTTTGTATAACAAAATCCACCACCAGCATTCTAGTCGCTCGACTTACTCGCCCGACCACGTGTCTAAATTAAAAAACGTGTTATCGACTCGGTAAATTACACACGTGGCTTATTTAAAAATAATTTAATTTCTAAACTAATGTCCATTGGCAAGAGTTACTGCACCGTTTATTATTGGGGAGGATGTAGAACAACATATTTAAAATTTAGCCAAATCCCAGCATACGGACCTATATCTTCCCCTTGTCAGTCTAATCCGCTCTATCCGTAAATAAGAGATAAGGCGGGTATTACATAACACCCGGTATAAAATATAATTGTTGTTGAAACGTAGCATATTTATCTAGGCTATAATATCCTACGGGCTTAACTGATAGTTTCAGTAAACGCCTGAACTTTTGTCGATCACCGAACACCGTGACGAGCAGAACGCACGAACGTTCCAGCGCGCGCGCGAACCTCGGAGGAGGGGATGCTTCGGGCGTTCTCCCCGCGATTTGCACATTAACGGGGAATAAACGACGCCGAAATACAGCGCGGACGCGCGATCGCCATAATAGGAGCACCGAGTAGTCTATTAAGCGTCCTCAAAACCAGTTAGTGAGTCGGCAATCCAGTTTAGGTACAAAATGGCTGTCGTTTAGCGAGGATTAATGGTCTCGGGAGTGCCCCGGGGCAGCATAATGGGGCAGATGCGTTCTGGATGAGG